AAACGCTTTTGAAGTGATTCAGGTGTCAGTAAAGCGTGTAAGCTTGCCCATTGTCACAACACAGGGGAGCGGACGCAAGACAGAAGTAATAGAGTGGGCCGCACTCGTAATACTTCCACGAGAAACGTCACTTCCTGGTATACTGAAAGCAGCTTTTCCAAGATGAAGAACTACATTTGAAAAAGATTTGCGCTTGAGATTTGTTGAATAGTGGACCACCGCTTACCCGTTTCAAACAAATGCCGGAATGGGACGATGTTCCCCGAGTGCACGGAGGCTCACTGGCCATTATGTCTTTTGTAATCTGCTCCTGTCTACACTGCATTCAAGGTAAGACATACTACATGCTTCCTCGTTAAGCAGGGACAGCTCCCTCTACAGGCAAGAATTGACCAGTTTGCGCGCGGGATGTGGGTCGCGCCTTGACCTCACCCCCACCAGTTGGGCGGATGGGCAGATTTCTATTTGTTTGCCTTTTCCCGGCCGGGAGTCCAATCCAAAATTGAGCAGCAGATCTTATTTACGGCATTTTTCTCATCGAAATACGACCACTTGCCTGAAACCGGCACAGTGCCAGTGAAAGTCAGATGGGCGCCATTCGAACGCAAAGTCACTGTCTGCAGTAAATTAGGAGTGCTATCGTCACTGTACACAGTTTGGCTTTGGTCGAGCACCAGTTCAGGGAGAAGGTGATTCGATTCTTTCTTTCGTATAGGTCTTTCTTTCGCACAGTCTAAGTTGCTAACCAGTGGTTAGTACATTATGGCTTGTTGACAAAACAGAAACGAAAAAATCATTCACATTTATTAAAATACACCGTCTGAGGCGAGCATTTGTGCTGACCAGGGCGAACCTTTTTCCTTACAATATTGGGGGCGTCCTCAACTATACCCACGTCTTGTTTACCCCTTTGGAACCATAGAGGAAGGACACAGAAGGAGTTGCATCTCAGGCACTTCAAAATGTTCGATGATGGTCGGCGCCGAGTCAGGCGAATAATAGAAAACATTTCAAAAATGCCTGATTACTGCCCGCATCCATGCTGCATCTCAGCCGGACAAGCGGGGCCAGTAATATACTAGCAATACCGGTAGTTTTTGCTGGCAATTAAATACAAATTATCGATGTGACCAAGAAATAGAGAGAGAAAAATTCCTGATATTAGACCTACGTTTGTCATCGTAAATAAACTTTTTAAATTTTGATACACTGTTCCATTATCCATGCAAAGTTTGTAGTTTTAATCTCCACTGTCCAATACATCAGCGTTCAAAGACTTGGTATGAATTTGGCTAAGGCTGGCCAACAAAATGTTCACTACTGCTGGAAAGCATAGTTCATTAGGAACAAAATGCGCTATTTCATCACAGGGAGTGATAGTGAAGTCTCATAAAATACGCTTTTGTACAAACGCCCAAATAAAAATGATTCAAACAAAACACAAAATCTTGTAAACAACGTTGCTATTTATTCCCAAAATAACTCCAGAAGAAAGGACCCATTAAGGGCAATGACTGCACATAGATCTAGAAAACACAGCGTAATGCAAGCAACTGCGCAAGCATTGATATTGTCATGAGATCATACCATCCTAGTACCAACAAAGGCATGAATATTCAATTTCCTATACCTCAGTACACGAAGTTTTAAGGATGCAGATTACCATCGACAAATTGCGGCGGCGATCATAGGGTACAAAGGTTTCGCGGTTGTGAAACAGATGGTGCGCGCGTAGCAAGCGTTCGCTGCGCTCTGGCTATGGACATACCAGGTATATCAGAAAGCGGTAATTGGCCAGATGTTAGAGCCCGGGCAGTTCAAACTCCTTCTGTGTCCTTCCTCTATGTTAGCACTAAGTGCCCCAAATGATCTACGTTCTTTTTATTACCCTCTCAATCTCCCATTCCCCGTTTAGGGTGCGTTCTGGCCATGGCCCAGACTATAAATTCATCGTTTCTGTTTGTGAAATACGCAAAGATAGGAAAAGTATATTGGCACGTGGATAACGACGGCCCGTGCGAGCACTTTCCAGTGTGCATACTGAATTGGAATTTTTTTCTTCCACATTGCGCGCGAAAATCCGGTATTCCGCGAGGACGACGTTCCTGAATCTGGTGTCAGAACATTAGCAAGTAATCAGACTGTGTGAAAACTCAGTGCGGTGACGAATGAGCTTGTAACTTGTTTTTTTTTTCTGGATACCCGCCAAATCTTCAATATTTAATTCTGATTCAGAATACAAAACCGAATAAGACATCCAGAGATAATCTTTCTGACGCCCCTTTGTTCCCTATAGCCCCTCCGCCTTCCTAACACCGTTTCTCGAACCTAAAACCCTCAAAGGGTGTCTTCGGTTTGGTCATGGTTTGGTTATGTAAGCTCCAGTTCAATAATGACGGTGTGTAATGTGTTTCACCCTGCAACCCCACACCCGAGTCTTGAATGCACAAAACACGGCTGCGCCTATCAGCTGTCGCCTAGGGGGCGAGTAGAACACCCGTACAGTAAATAAACACGGCCGAGAAATTGTTTTCAAATGCCTGCCCGTTGGTTTACTCGAAGGAATCAGGTGGGGGCGCTCGGGTGCCTGGTTTCCCGACGTAGCCCATTGTGTTTCTCCGTGTGTTTGTTGATCTGACATCTCGTTTTTACCACCGATTTATGTTTTTTGTGTATTTCAATTCTAACCTGTATTCTAAGCCATGCAACGGCCACCAACATGGTTAGGGGGTCTCGTGTTCAAGTTCTGGTGGTTGATATTTCACCGAGGCGTTTAATTGACTCAAATTAGCATTTTGGCAGTTAAACAAAATGTTGAATTTCAATTAGATTTTTGTTCCTACATAAATAGGTTCGAAAGAGAAGCAGCCATTGATTTTAATCTCTCAAACACATCTGTAGTAGCCGACATTGCAAATTTTCTGCGAATGATAATTCAAAAGATTTTGATTTTTTAAAAAATGTTCCATTCAGTGTTTTCGGAGAAATCGAAAATCGGGTTCTTTGATGTAGGGCCTGCATTTAAAAAATTGCTTAGTCCTTAAAATTCTGGCTCAGACACTTTGCAATTCGATGTATTCGATTTTTATAAACTACAAATGTCTTCTTTAAAAATATCAGTACGGTGCATTGTGGCTACAATTAATTTTTTTTTAAAAATCCAGTCACCATCCGTGCAGTACCATCGATTGTAATGCTGCCAAATTTTCCAGCTCGAACGACTGAATTTCAGAATTACGAATTGAGATTTGTGCCTTCATTTAACAAAAACAAAAGTCCGAAAAATTATTCACATGGCACCTTTCTGAAATTTTGATTGGGTTTGAACGACAACAAAGTTGCGAGAGAATACATTATGTTCGTAACCAAAAAAAAAAAAATTAATGAACTAGACCAAATGCTTCATCCCGGAACGTCTTACACAAAATATGGCGTCCATTGTGAAATTAGAATCGAGACGTTCGTAACTAATTACCAGAAATATAGCAAGCCAGTTAACTTGGAAATTTTATTCGGGTGTAAAGCCTAATGTACAAAAACGGTTACGTTTTTTGAGTAGAAGTTTTGAAGTTATTAAAAAGTTTATTAATCGACATGTTGTCGGTCCAAAAATGAAATTTTATGAATGAATTTAAAAAAGAAAAAAGTACTCCAGCCATACTCCATACTCCAGCCAAAATTTTCTGTTTGTTTTGGTTGGGAAAATCTTCGGATTTATTTTGAAATTAGTTAACTCACCTGAGTAGTTGACCGTGCCCATTAAACCAGCCGCCCGGGAAGCAAGAAGCAGCGCCTCGGAACATGGGCTGCTAGTCGGCCATACCGTCGGGTCCGCGACATCCCACCACGGCGAGTCACCACTGCCGCACGAGGGGTAGACGGTGGCCGGACAGACAATCAGCGGGACGGGTCTGTTCCAGAACCCTCCACGGTGGGTGAGAAGTCCTGGTGGTGCGCCCCAGGCAGGTCTCGGATGGGGTTTGACTAGTGTCCCAGTCGGCCCGTTATTTGTCGCGGGAGCGCCCAGCTGTCTCACGGTAGTGGGGAAGTTTGGGCGAATGCGAGGAAACTGATAGTCTAAACGCAAATCTCCACTTTGCAAGTTGAGCTTTTCGATTTGGAGTTGTTTCAGATGAAAAGCACTAAAGTTGCCTGGATGCATTGTCGTCGGATAGTTGTTAGTTTATTCTTTATTCTAGTAGTCGTCACCTCTCTTCAACGGACACTCGTTTCGGTACAATATGCCTAATTGTAACACTGCTAAGTAAAATTCAGAGCTATTCCACATTCATCAGTTGTCATCCAATCAAGAATGGTTGATGGATATTGTCAAAGATCTGTGTTTAGGATCGATTTTTTTTTCATTCGTTAACTCTGAAGGATTTGCAGTCCATGCCACAGAAGAGAAATCTGTTCGCGTATGCCTTATGTACCAACAGTTCGACATCCCCCTCGGTATTTATTTGCTTTAAGAATTAAGCACTCTCGGTGGCGTTTAAATCTGAGATAGAAAATTTGGGCACTGACGCATTCAATACTGCATTAATTCTTCACACAGCGCCCTCTGTCAATTCGTGGTAAACTTTTTTTTAAGCAGCGTTTTTGTAGCATTTAAAAGTAACAAGTATCACCTTGGCACGATTTGGCGCCCAAAACAATTAAGTTCTACTCTTTATAAAAGTCCTTATCCTACCATTGCCAGGTTCACGGGTGGTTGGGGTGATAGAGGAAGATTTGGGCTGAAATAAAATAGAGGCTGGAAGAGGTATAATCATTAAAATTAATTATTTGCTCATAAATTCTGTTGACCATTAAAATTAATTATTTGCTCATAAATTCTGTTGACCCAAAACTTCAAGCTGTTAAAAACTTCAGTGTCGTTAACCATGAAAGCGTTTTGTTCTTGGTTCTAATAAATCAGGGTGGGGTGGGGGTCTCGATATCACATCACTACGCCACGAATAACATACAACGTTCGAGTGTTCTGTAATTTTAAGAAGTTCTATTCATTTCCTGAAGAATAGTTGGTTTTTATTGGTTTCCACGTCTCAAACACAAATGTGCTTGTAATACACTTAATATTTGAAAGAAAAGTTTTTTTGTTACCGTTGTAGAAGATAGCTACAAGAAGACCTTTTCTTGCAAATTCATTGTGAGTAACGTTCATACCAAAGTGTCTACAATTTCTCAAAAATTAAGTTCACTTTTGGAAATTAAACGCTCATTTAATAACGTTAGTCTCGTTTCAAGAACTAAACAAAAAATTGTCGGGATAGCAAATTGCTTTTCTCAATACATGTATACAGTTTACAAAGTAGCTAAGTCAAAGATGTGAAACATTTAGTGCTTTTAATTTAACTTTACCAATGCCCTAATTTTGTATAAAAAAAAACAAAAAAATTTTGTGACTTTTGCATATCTGTGACTGGTTTTGGTTTGACAATTATTGATACAAAAAAGAGCAAGTCAAAAACAGAAAATACTTAAGCCACAAAAGTTAAGCATCTACATTGAAATCTTACAAAAATAATTTCAACATTATCCTTTTCAAAATATATACATATAGAAACGCACTATACAGTAACTTTGAAAATAAGTACCTGAAAACATTCCACTCTAATCTCTTCACTCGATTCATTTACTTCAAGGTGTTTGGATCAAATATTTCCATACTTATTTGTGATAAAGCTTCCTCGTGATATTGATATTTGATCACTTTTAATGTCAAAATGACACTCATCTCAATGTCCCTTTAAAAATGGATAGATCCAGATTTCTTTAATACACAAAAACAATGGAACAATCTGGCACATGACCCCTTTCTGCTCTTTTGTATTCCCTTATTTTAATAAGTCTGGATGTGACTGCAACTGCCTTGAAGATGCTCCAATGAAACCCCTTTGGTAAAATTCATTAACTGCTGCCGTAGTAAAAATAAATTAGTTTCCAATTCATGTTTAAAAAGTCTTCATTGATAAGGCACCAAAATTGTTACCAATAAATAAATGCTGCCTCTCTTGGCTTAAACAATAAGTGACCATTTACCCTTTTACTAACTCTCACTCATATATCATTACCAAGTTGCTATAAAAAAGATTCAATTGAAACACTGAAAACTTTGTCTTTTCTTATCGACAATGTTTGTCAAGTCACCACTGCTTGTGTGAACGGGAGAAAATTTTTTCTGACTTTAAATCCTTTCAACTAATGTCAGTCTAATAGTTAGTGTTGATTCTTTAATCAATTCATTTAATTGTGAAATGAGTACAAAAAGTAAATTACAATTATCCGTCCAAGGGCTGAAGTGTGGACTATCCACTTTTTCTACCCACTCGCTTCAGAAATCCTTAACTAATTGATTCTCTTGTGCAATACAAAATTTCAAAATTAGGCCAAAAAACAATACAAGACTCACTAATGTGCTGAGAACTCCCACATTCTTTTTGAAGCTGGTTTTCCTTTAATGAAATTTCTTAAGGCTATCCCTGGATCAGCAACAAAACACCACAGCTTACGTGTGGGTTCTGCCAGCATTGGATGAAAGTCAAGAATGTGAACTGTGCTTGCTAGGTCACATGGATGGCGTCATGTGGCATGCAAGTGTCTCGCCTTGCTGGACAACTTCAGCTGCATTTTCTGAAGTATGCAACTTGAAGTGTGTATCAAAGCTGAGCAAAGGGATAGATGAAGTGTTTGACTAGCCCAAGGCACCATAGTTCTGTAGGTCCTACTCAGTCATAGATGAACAGCACTGATAATCACTGGACCTCTAATATCATGCTGATGCAAAGCTGTGTAGCCAGCTTGTACTTGCCAGTTTGAAGCCTTGGAAATAAACTGTGGCATCTTCACAGACCCTCAATTTTTCCATATGCCCTAATTTTTTTTTTTGGGGGGGTAGACCCCAGGCGCAATGTCCAGTTTGTCTACAGGATAATCAAAGGTCTAGAGCAGTGATGTTCATCGTCTGTAGAGACGGATGAGATTTGGCTTGACGCTCTCATTGCAGTGTTTTGCTTTCTTCCAATCGTCCGATTTTCGGTGCATGTACATCACTTCGTCCATGTCCTTCACGTGGTCATTGGCTCTGCTGTACTCCCCCGGGAAGTATTTGTGAATCACAAGCATCAGAGCCGACGCGTCAAAGCGGTGGTTGACCCCGTGTTTGGCCCCCGGCGGGCTGATGCAGTTCTTGTCCATGGCGCAGGCGTACAGGGGCCGCAGATAGTTCCGCTGGACGGTGGTGCTGTTGAGGACCAGCTGCCTGTTGGAGGCGGGGTGGGGTGCGTAGGCCGACCTGTAGAAGGCGCCCTTGTCGACTCCGATGACTTTGTACATCTGGTCAAAGGTCATGTAGTAGTTGTGCTTGATGGGGGCGCGGGTGGAGGCATTGTAGCTGTGGAAGCGGGACAGGTAGCCGTGGTGCTCACAGGCAAATGGCAGCAAGAGTCTGAGAGATTTCACGAAGCGCACAGAGGCGTCCGACCAGAAGATGGCCCCAAATTCGTTCAGGGTCTCCTACATTAAAAAAAAAAAGAGAAAAAAAGGAAATTACCGATGAGGTAATCTCACAACCAAATGCCCCTCTATGGTATTTTGGGGGCTGGTTTTGCATACTGGTCACTGTTACATGAAAAATGCTAACTTTTCCCATTAATAGCTCTCAACGCACAAGTTGACAACAATGTGTGAGAGCCTGAACTTTACGTGACTTGAATAAACTAAACAAAGCCCATTGCTGCACTGAACAGAGACTGGGCAGAAATTTATGGTGGATGTTTTGAAGATTGGTCATGGGACAACTTGGGGGGGGCCTGATTTAACCCAGCCCCTAAAGAGTTTAATAGCGTTGATGTCTATTATTGTACAGCTTACACACCCACAAAGTTTCATCCAGTTGGGGGCCTTGGCTAAATGGGCAATTTACCCTCCAATACATCCAATGTTTGGACACACTGGCTGCTGACATTTATAAACAATCAATATTTACCTTTATGATGATGACTTTCCAGGCATAGGTGGACAGGTTGGACACGAAGCGTGGATACTTGTGGAATCTGAACTTTCTCACCTCCACATTGCACAATGTCTTGACCTGAGCCAGCAGGGACCAAAACAAGACAGATTGTCATCGGCAATTAAGGTCAGTCACAATGAAGTAGTCAAGGGCACTGGCGGTGAAAGGGGGCGGGGGCAGGTGGCCCCCCACTTTTTCAAGTGGAGGGGCATCCCCCTTCATCCACATTTAGCAGGTCCTATGATAAGGTGGGGCTTGCTGCATCCATATGCCTGCTAATGGCTGATGCCTGATGGTGTCACGACCGGCCCCTCACTTTGTAAATCATTCTGTTGCCATTACAAATGACCCAAGAAGACCAAAAAGAGATGTCCAGTCTGAATTTAAGTCACAAGCTATTTAAATGAACTGCAACAAAAGCATTCCTTGTCACTAACTGGTCTAGTGTCTGGTCTTGATCTCGGCTACAAACACTGGCAAGTAAAATATTAAAAAATCTAACAATTTCTAAAGACAAAAAAGTATACAAGAGCCAAAGGAAACAAGTCATGGAAAAAATTTATGGCCATGCCTGCTGGTTTGTAAGCAAACTTTTCTTTTAAACGAGACATTTTTTCCAAAGAGTCTCCTATGCCAAATTTCATGAACGTGATGAGCAGAAAATGTTGCACAATAAATTTATCATTTAGGCCCAAAAGCCATGTGCGTTGCATGATGCGATAGATGCTAACCCAAATTGCAGAATGAATATTAATTTCTGAAATTTGTTCAACAAATTTCTAAGTTTGCAGCTCTATAAGTTGGCTTTACTTGAGTTATAGTTTCTAATTGGTGTTGATTAGGTGTCGTACAACCACAATCAGGAATATTTGAAACTTCAAGTTGAAAGATTGGCTCGTGCAAGGTGTAAAGACACTCAAAATCTTAGCACCGAACAAAACAGGCAGCGTCTTTTTTTTCTCAACCCACCTTGAGTAATGTTTTGTTCTTCATTCCAATGTCGTAGACTATGATACGTGTGTGGGGCATGGCCTTCTGGGCGGAGCCAATCATGCCCATCGCCTCCTTGTAGTGGTTCTCGGAGAATGCGGTCACGACGACAAGATGCTTGAAGAGCTCATCGAAGTCAGGTGTGTCCCTGTCCACATCTATCAAGACTTTGATGTCCTGGGTCCCATTGTACTCACGGGTTGGGTTCAAGAGCTTACCTCCCACATGGACAGCTGCTTCTTTCCGTATGTGAAGTTGGTCTTTCTTTCCCTTTACTATCATTTCACAGGAAGAAGCCAGAAAACAAGATTGGTTTCTTTCATTTTTGCAATGAGAAAAACAAGCCTTCCACTTTTACACTGTTGTAACCATGTTTTTGGAATGGGGGGGGGGTAGGTAGTACCATTTCTGAAGTGTTGGCCAGCACTTTCAAGTCTAAAAATGTGAGAAGGGGAAATCCACCTCCACCCACTGAATCTGCCATTGCCACTTCAAGATCTTTCAAGTTAGAACCGGGCAAACTTTCTTTCACAACTGTCCCTTGAACAGTTTGGTCAACTTGCAATTCAGGGATCCTTTCCTAAAACGGCCCCATTTTCTCAGCTGAGACAACACACAGTTGGAAGGGTAGTGTTGAAACAGGTTAAACAAAGTGTGAGCTCTATAAATAGAGGGAATGCAAGTGAGGTAAATATTAACTTAACACCAACCTAGTGGTACAGAGTTGATCTTCTGGTCTACAAAGGTTATGCAAAGCAGCCATCTTTCGGGTCAGTGCTTTTGTTATTGGGATATTCACAAGCTTTCTACTCATGTGAATCCCTGTGGAACTACAACACTGACCACGAAGATGGCTGCCATGCATATCCTCTATTTATGTAACAAATACATGTATATGTATACCATGTTTATGTAACAATGATACTTTACTCTGCCATTGAACCCTTTTCTTTTTTGGGGGGGAAGTGTGCCCTTTTAGACCTTATATTGTAGATAATGTATAGGCTATGTACTTGATTTTTCGACAGACTTCCAGGCTGTGTAGATGCCTCCAATGGCCATACAGGATGCGATCACCATCAAGCACTTGATCTTCGACTGTTGAGTAAAAAACAAAATTGAACAACTGACTTATGGGTAGATTTTTCCATCTCTGTCTTGGGCTCCAAAGCAAATAAGGGGAGGCCAACTTAAGAGAAGTAGCGTGAGAATCACCCTTTATCTTTCTGACCCCGCCCGGCAAAACTGTGTCCTGTCTTCTGAAGATATGAGTTTCTCACAGGTGTGCCACTTTTACTTCATTCTCTCAGAACTGTCGATGCTAATTTCTCTCACCCACCTGCCTCATAATTGCTGGTACCTCGTCCTGTCGGCTGTTCCCCGTCTCTGGCTCACTGCAGTTGGCCAAGCCATGCATCTGTAGACTGTGAGATTTGAAACAAAATGTTATGATCGCCAAAGATGGGAATTCAAAATTAAGACCACATCTTGAGGTTTGCTCAGTCAGAAATGGGCACAACTTCCAGAGGTGCCTTGGCAACTTAGCAGAGTTGATGGGAGAGGGGGTTAGCCACACCCCCTGACGGTCACTTCAACCCACTATCCACATGACCATCTCCATCTTCTTGCATTAACTCTGCAAGTGCAAAGTGCTGTTCTGAATTTGTCATACCTTTGGGACTACCTGAATGATTGTCGCTCTGTAAACGTCACTGCAGGATAATCCAGTTTGATTTCTTGTGTCAACAGGCAACTCTGGTTGTGGCATGGTATTCCTTATCTTTCCATTAAAAATGGGACAACAGTGTGAGAGCTGGGTTGACAGTGGTGTTAGAGACCTGTTCTTTGTACCATTGTGCAAAGACACAATGCAAGTTCATGCCGACATAATATCTGGTTCAATGAAGAATACTTCAATACTGAAACCACTGATGGCAGAAAGGGTGGGGGGATGGTGCCCACTTTTTCAACTAGGGGGCATTCGGAGGTCCTATGATGGGGTTGGATATCAGTCTAGTCATGGGTTTAAATCCAAAGGGAGGGGGGGTATAAATCTCCCTAACTTTTTTTGGCAGAGATTGGCTATTGAATATTGACTTTTTCATGGTGAAAAAAAATTAAAGCAGACTGTGAAGAATATTTTGGATTCCAAACAACCAAAATTAATGCAATCAATATCACGCAAAATAGAACAAAAAAAAGCCATACTGTTCTGGTGTAAGCTTCTGCATGAATGAAATGCATACGACGACAGACATGCATCTGTATTGTGAACATTGCCCCTATATATAAAGTGCCACGTAGTGTCAGCCCCCCCCTTTTCAAATTTCCATGACCTGATAAGCTATCCCCCACAATTCCCCATCCCAATGATGCTTGATCTCAAAAATCTTTCCACCACCAATGACCAATTGCAAGACACTGCTGAAGAAAAAATGTGTTTACAACCCTTTCTGATATGAGCCTAAATAGCACTGGGCAAAAGAATATCAAAGAATGAACTGGATTTACACCATACATTCGAATCGTTGAGAATTCCACAAAGAATATCATGGTCCTCTGGGTTACCATTCTAGGAGTCTCGGATGCTAAACCCATGATTAAATATTTATATTATTCGGTCCACTCCTGAAGCAGAGATCTGGGGCCTACGTTTGGAGTTACCATCGGTAGGGCCTAGGCCTACTTGGGTACGGTTCATTGTCCCGAGAAAGCTCTGCATAAAAAAAACATGCAATTTGGGGTCGTTCATGGGATAGGAATGCCAGAACTTATAGCTTTGAGCTTACCAAAGGCCGAAAGAACACTAGAAGATGTTGGTCAAATTTTACAAATGATAAGTCGATAGCAAGTTCTAAATTAAACGATACCATTTTAAACTCAGAACAGCATGGAATGATTGACTGCAGCACTTGTGCTTGACAAGTCTCCGGGATCTGTACCGGATCTATCGGTACGGTGTTGAACGTTTTTCTTGATTGTCCTACCTCCATGGTCTAACCAACCATGGAGGTAACATCACTACCTCCATGAACCAACCAACCAACGCTCTAACTTTAGATTTGAGTTCCCTCCCAAAACCTTTTTTTCCACACCTTATTATGTAGAGTTGAAGTTACTCTTCTCTTGCTGCGTCCATAGGCCGTCTCGTCACAGTTGGGCCGAATTTGGCATATTACGAACTTGTACTATGCGTAGAAATCGACTACATAATTACATGGGTGCATAGACAGATAGTGGAGGTGACCGAATAACGGATTCACAGGAACCCGTCTACTGAAGACGTGTGTACAGATGGACACCTTCCCTGTGCGTCACGCATCGATGCATCTGAATGAAGTCATTGTGGGCTTCAAAAATTACAGATACGTCTCTTGCCATGAGTCGAATAAAATAGTCCCTGCTTCCTTTTCTACTTGCCGGAATAGTATCGACGAAGGCCCAAGAGGGCAAGATCCGGGGCCGGGGAGGGGGAAACGGAGGCCACCCTTCCCCCTTCCTTGTGAAAAAAAATGAGAAGGCTAAGCGACCATTTCATTTCCCTTCCTTTCAAAACGTGTAAAAAAATCCCACAACATAATAGCCCACCCTTCAGAAAGACCATACGAGGTTCTTCACATTGTGGGGACTCCCTCCAAAACAAGTCCCCTCCAAAAAAAATCTGGATCCGCCCTGTCGGAGGTCAGTGGTGGTGCACGCAAGGGCACACCCCACCCCCACCCCGAAAGTCCGTTCCTTTTGTTCTTGTTTTGTTTCAATAGCACTATTTGCGCCGTCCGTTCCCTTGGTCCCTCCCCCTTGGCACTTTGGAACGTGCAAACCTACGTGCAAGTCACAGTTATATTGCTTTCAGTGTCCACTACTTGAAACTTTTAGGAAAAAATGTATGCGCCCCAGGTGCCCAAGTGGCGTATCCTGCTGGCGGGGGAGGGAACTTTTTTATTTATTTATTTTTACAAAGAATACTTCACAGGAAAGAAAGTAATCGTTATATTTATTTATCAAATATTATCACCAAAACCCTGAGAAAACAACACCATTATATAAAAGTAAGGATGTCAAGACGTTCCACGAGTAAGGTTTTTCCTCCCCTCGCGCCAACAGCATGTTGAATGAGCCCAAAGCCGATTACAAACAATTTCAAAGTTCTCAGAGTATTATTACAATATCAGCATATTTAATAGATCAACGAATGATTAAATCTGAAGGCGCGAAAGAGAGAAAACTTGTGGAAGGGCCGAGTTCAAAGGACGGTGGAACTGTCAATATCAGTCCATGCAGGTTCTCATCGTCGATGCAGAAGTTTACTTGCGGCAATCTTTGGTCGGCACATCGGTCTCTGCCAGTGTCTACGCCCGGCCAGGAAAGGTAGCTGCCTCCACTAAAACCCCGGTCCAGATGGTGTCAAAGTCCTCTGTGCGAAGTCCCGGCCCCGACAGTCGCGGTCTTCCTGGATGGTCCATCCGTCTCTTGACACAAACCCGAAGTCTTTCGGTATTAGTAGGCCTAGATAATCAGGGTAACGTCGGCTGGCTTAGTATTTCTCTCAAACAGACAGCCCTAAAAAGAGAGTTCCGTGCAGACTAACAAATGCGGCCTAAAAATAAACCCAGCGGTACGGGCCCACTTTTTACCGCTTTGGGGGTAATCTGCGTTGGGGTAAAACACAAAATGTCAATAAATCTCACACGCAGTAAAAGTGTATCTTAATAAGGGCAATAGGCCTAAGCTAGCGGGACGTAAGACATCATATCACGTCGAAGGTTTTCAACGTCACACAAAAGTCTGCTCAATTCCAAATTGACCAAACTGCCAAACCTTTTTAGTATCACTACAACAGGTACTGAGACATGTGCCATTGAAAAACTAGATCAAGAAAATGCACAATTCAACTTGGTTATATGATGCTAAGTAAAGTTCAAAGACTTTGTCGTCGGTTTAGCATCGCTCAATCCATCGAGTAGAAAATACATAGTTTCAAGACATTTTGGCCTGTCGATGATAATGACACAGATTTTGATGAATTTTTTCTCAAAACAGCACCAATCTCACTCCACTATAAGTAAGAACAAATTACACTTCAAAACAATTTGAACAAAGTCCTTGTTTTCTACCAAAATGTCTAAACTACAAAATTCTACCATGCAAAGACTTTGCAGGATGGCAATTTCTTCAGACTTCCTCGGAAGTCACATTAGACTGGCAATAAGTAGACACGTAGATGCAAAAAACCCAATAATTTAAAGAATGACTAAGGTAATGCTCAGATTCACCGTTAAACAGAGAGAACACGTGCAAAAGAAAATCTGAAGAAAGAGGAATTCTCCAACGCTACTGATATCAACGGCAGCGGAAGGATTTTCGAAGTGGGGGGGTTGAAACCATCAAGCATCAGTCATTATTAGCTCAATCCATGGAGCGCTACCCCCCAAAAAATATAGGTCCTGCAAAAAGTGGGGGGCCAGACCCCCCAGTCGAAAAAGTGGGGGGGGGGCACTGCCCCCTGCTTCCACCACCAGTGCTACTGATGATTCGGTACGCAGTAGCAAAGCAGTTTGCTGACAAAATGCTTGCGCGTGGTCAACACAGTGGCAGCCTGGCAGGAGCAGGAATGCTTGGCTTTTCCAGATCTTGGTGGCAAACCAGCTGCCAGATTATCAACTCAGCTACTATTGGCTAGATTTAAAATTATTGGGCACAGAATTTCACCTGATGGTTGTTTAGTGGCCAGGCAGGAAAGGCACTTAACATGGACTTGTGGTTTCGCAGCTCTAGTCTAAGCGTAAAAACACAAGCAGGAACTTCAAGTTTAAGTTGGTGGGCCTGTATCCTGCTTACAATCTGAATGACCATAGCTAAGAAGATAATACAAAGGGCATCCTCCACCTTTCTTGGGAAGAGGATAAACAAAGGACTCTGTAGGAGCAGGAAATCAACACGAAAGGATCAGAGAAAACTACCAAAGCAAAACCCAAAGAAGAAATATGGAATATAATGAAAGAGAAGTAAAAAGGGAAAACTTACAAGTGGAAAAATAGTCATGGTCATGAATACTACTAGGGCTATAACCCAAGACCTAACTTGGGTCAGGGTTCAATTCATTATTACGGATTATTGATTGGGTTCAATTTCGATATTTCGGTTCCCCTGTCTGGAGTATCCTATTCTGATTTTTGAAGGCCCTTTTTACGTTATGTCACAAGCCTAAGGGCGAAGTCCACTAATTCAAGCCCCGTTGAAACCTGTGTAATCGGCATTGTTTTAGGCCGGCCCAACATAACATGCATAACAAAATCCCTGAGGTCTCTGAAACACATTACTCTATGGTCCCTAACCTTTCAATTTCTTTTCAATTTTCTGTGGGTTAATAGATCACATTTGAATTCTGCCCAGTAAACAAAATTACCCTCCGAAAAGTGATTTTTCCGTAGTCTGCCTACAGCTATTAAAGTGGCAACCTCAACTTTCTGGGGCACTTGGGACCATTTTTCAACGATATTTTTTTTTTTTAGCTAGGCCAATTATGATCTCAGATGAAAGCCCAAAGACCCAAGGAGTTGATTCTGGCAAAGATTTAATCTCACCATTTTGGGGGCCATACAATCTCCTTTTTCAAGAGATACTGCCGGGGGCACTTTTAATGCTAATGAGCTGGCCAGATAATATGTGTTATTCTCACTTGAATTTGTAGACTGCACCCTAGATAGACAGATGGTAAAGACTTTTTTCGATGGGTTGTATTTTCTGCACAGCGACCTCTAGTGACGCCTCATGCAACCGCGTGGCCCAGTACACGGATTAGCTTTTCCTAAATGCTGCAGACGTACCGTACCTAAGGACGACTTGCAGCAGACATGGCGGCAACTCCAAACTCGAATGATGGTCAAATGGACGGCAAATTCCCACGAAAAGACGAGTTCAGCAAATACCGTTCACCCTTGGTGGCCAGATATGCACCACCGGAGATGGCTTTCAACTTCAGTGAAGTGAAGAAATTCACGACGTGGCGGAAGCTCTGGCTTTGGCTTGCAAAAGCTCAACAGGTGCGGTCAAAAAAATGTGACGTTTACGGTTTACATGGTTTTGGGTGTCACGCAAGACATGGCCTAGCCCCACTAGTGTGGCACGGACTCTCACTCCCGATCCATCCTTAGCCACACATCCGTACCGCAATTTTGTGTCGGCGTCCTGAACATTTTCGGCACACCCACTTATCATCAATTGGGCACAATTTCTTTTGCACACAGACATGATCCTTGACCTTTCCGCTTTCTAAAAACCATTTATTGAATGATTTCACTCAGGTTATTCAGGTATTTTCCATTTTTTTGCCTTTATCCATTCAATCTAACAGGCTCGCTCTCTTAGCCATCTTTAAAATAAGGTCGTTGAACATTACATCACTTGACCCCTCATCGTCTCGACGGCTGTTCCATGTCAAGACATATCTAATACACGGACTGAGCGATAAGATACTACATGTACCAAAGGGTTCTTCCAAAACTTTGGCAGCAGTTTAGATGTCTTGACATGATTTGACGACACCGACAAAAAATTGCATATATATGGTTGGGTTTCTTAGGATGGAACTGTAGCCAGTGTCCGTGCCACACTAGTGGGGCTATGCCAACCTTGGCTAAGTCAAATTCTTTCTTTAAATGCCCCCCCCCACGAGTGTGGGACCGTGACCATGTTTTTCATTAAATTTCTCTCAGAAAAAAGCCTAGCCTCTGCTTTCTTCTGGCTTTTGCTATTTGATGTTAATGTTCTAAAGTCACGTTAGTGGTATGACTGTGAGAAAGAATAGGCCCGTGTCCGAGACCATCCAAATTGTCAAATGTCATAAACAGTAGCCCAACAGCATTTGCCATGTCCTCAAACCTCTTTTTAACAATAAGCCTTTTTAACAATAAGCCTTTTTCACAATAAGCCTTTTTCACGTTTTATGTGCATATGCTCAGAAGATTTTAACACAGGGAAACAAGGAGAGAGTTCTGTATATGGATGCCACTTGACACCCCGTGCACAAACCCTATTAGATTGGTCTGAAAAAGTCCAAGTGTTTTCTAAGTAGAATGACTTCGTATTTTCCCTCCTAAATGGAACTTTTCTGGACATGTTTTGCTTTCTGATTATTATTATATATTTCTAGTAATGACACCAAGGATTCCTCAAAAGCACCCTAGGCACTGTAGCTCGCAAGCCTGAAGAAACCTTTAGAGAGGAGACAGTGAGAAGCAGTTACAGTTTTAGAGGTGGGAGGAAAACCCCAGAGGAATATTCTGGGTAAAACCCACAAAATCAGGTAGGGACTGAAAACTCAATCCACATGTGGACCGGGCCGGGATTCGAACCCGGGCCGCAGAGGTGGAAGGCGAGGAAAGAACCACCACGCCAACCTGACTCCCTGATGGCTGATAGTTCGCTGTAGGGAATAATTACTGCCATCTGTATAAGTATGGAACTCTTCCCAGGAAAAAATTCATGACAACAATGTTGCGTAACTTTGGGCGAATGGATGCTCGCGATTGTTATTGTTGTAGACAAATTGTTCCCCTCTAGCTTTGTTCACTTACATGTACTCGTGCATGGGCGCTAAAGCGACATGGTGACAGAATGGGAAATTGGCTTGTGGATGTGGACTTTCACTGGTACTAGCGCCAGAGTGGCATAGATGTACCATCGTCTAACGCCATGTTTAGTTTACAGAATTGCAAACTTGAAAGTGCCAAATTTCTTGCTTCTTGAAAACTTGCGATGGTTTCAAAGATCCTTACTATTGTCTTACATTACTTGACCACAGTACTTGACTATAGTACTTGACCACAGTACTTGACCACAGTACTTTACTGTATACATGTAGTTCACTTCTGTATCTAGCAGCCACTGCACAAACACCTGTGGTGGGGCCATCATGTGCAAGTTGCTATAGATCCAAAACTAAAAAAGCACAATTTTTTTGTAAATTCCAGCAGATTTGAGGCCCTTTCTGTGTGCTTCTGTACCCAAGTACAACTGTCAACTACATGTAATAAGTGTGCAATAGCCTACATTTGCAATATGTGGTTCACAGGGCACGCAGTGGCATTGATGGATCATGCCGGTCAGTTACAATTGCACCATTGTTTCCATACCACTAATTGTGATTAGGGTTTTACCAATCACTGTGTGAAAGGAGCCCCTCCCCCCGAAAAAAAAAAAAATAGTTGGAAAAAGTACATGCACTATCAATTTCGTTTTGCCTTAATCAGCTTTTGAACCAACATACATGAACCAACACAAAAATGTCATTCATGTATTAAAATAAAAAACCAAAATCAAATCAACAATAGGATTTTGCTTCGTGGACTGGCCATTTCTTTCACGCACCTTGTCCAATGACATCTAGTTTTGGTGAGATGGATACTGAAAGTGGTAGGAAAGTACTGTAGCTGATGTCCGATGTAATGGCGACTGACTGATTAATTGATCTTCGCTGGGATTACTGGCATTAATACAAGTCAGTTGTCGGTATCTGGCAGCTGATCACACCAGTCATTCAAGAATCAAGCTGTGCAATATTCTTATGCATGTACATGTACATATACAATGCATGTGTGACAGTGTAAGCATTTTGGGCACCGTCATGCTGCACCTGTGCCATACTTGCACATGTACAATTACATGCTTATTTTCAATTGTTACGTTGACTATGATCAGCCATGATATGGGCAGGCAGCCGATTTTTAGTGATTTTTTTTACATGCTTGCAGCTTTGCAGAGACATCCATCAGCTTGCTTGTTTCAACTAATACTCATTTGTTAAGAATTTGAAACTCGGGCAGTATTGAGTGGTGTGTCAATGACAAGCCCCCCATCTTATCAAATGCTAAAACCTTGAATTTGAACATTTATCACGGTTCCACGTGCAAAAAAGCATAAACACATAACAGGGTATGTACATCGGCAAAATTTTGATTGAAACGAGAACTCCATTGAGCGTTGAATGTTGTTTTTTTTCCGTTTGTTTCTCCCAGACCGTCGGTCTTGACATCAAAGATGAGCAGTTGGAGGAGATGGAGGCCAACCTTGCCAACATTGACTTTGACACGGCTGCAGCCGAGGAGAAGAAGAGACGACATGATGTCATGGCTCACGTCTACACCTTCGCCCAGTGCTGCCCGCAGGCTGCCTCCATCATCCACCTAGGAGCCACGTCCTGCTACGTGGGAGATAACACGGTAACGAAAATTGCCAAGTAGAGTTTTGTTTTTACATTCAAAGGTCTTTTGTCTTTTGGTTTAGACTGTACATTTCAACAGAAATTGATCTCATATGATCAGGGCCTCCTGCACAGAATGTGCCTAAATCTGTGCATGTACAAATTCCCTCCGTCGTTGCTTTGTACATTTTGCCGTCTCTTGTTCCCAAATAGAGCATATAACCTACATGTAGTATGGCTGGAAAGTATTCGAAATACAGCACAAATTTGGAACGAGAGCATGACTGAAATGCTAAGTTTTTTAACACTACCCTTACAATTTGCCTTTCTGTCTCAGGTATCCACATTTTTAAGTTTTGTTTTCAAGGGAATGTTGGTGCCCTTTGGGTTTTATGCTTATGCAGATTTCCAAATTCATGAACAAAATTTTTCACAGTAATTTACTGATTTGCATATAAAAACCTGGAGGAATATGCTTGTCCTAGAAGCCCTTTTCTTTGTGATTCAATGTTTTGTATGCTCATGGCAACAAACCAATGGGAAATTCTTTTTTAGAAATATTTCCAAAGAGCTAATTTTCGGTTCTCAGTTTGAACCGGAAAACCTGTAAATTACACATTTTCTCCCTGAGTGACGTCATGGCAACAGTGCTCTCAGTTGCCCAGCAATGCAGGTTGCCCAAAAGTGATGTCAACTACGTGTATTTTCGTGTATTGAATAGGAGTGGAAAGTGTCTAAAAAAAAATTCATTGCCTGGAGCTTTTATTCCTTGCTGTCGGTTGTACAGCATGTTTTGCCAGTCAGATGGGCATGTCATATTCCACATGCCCTAGTGCGCTTATACGTGGTGCCTTGTGGCGTTCTGGGATAATGGATGGTACCCAACAAGGCCAGTTTTGATCCTTGTGACCCCACAAGAATTTCATGAAATAGATATTTTCAAATTTACTCAAAAAGGAGGAATTTTCAAGTGTCATTCATCTGTTGCAAATTGAAGAGTTTTATGTAAGGGACATACTGTACGGTGAAAATTTCAACCCAGGAAACTGAATGTGGTTGAAATGGCAGTGATTTGAAATTTTTTCCGTGTTGTGTGGGAGTTTTGTACACGAGAACAAAGTCCCCACAAGGATACACATATGTAAGGGGTGTGTGCACTGAAGGATGCACAACTCCACATGGAATGAAAAGGGAGGGTGTCATTTGCATGTCAGTAGATGAGCTTGTATACCCAGCAAGAAATGACACCGAGGGGTACCCCCCCAACAGGTCCAATCCCTATATACATTCCAGACTATTGTTACTTAACACATCCCCCCCAAGATGTCTGAAAGGAATTCCCCAGATTCCTGCGAGACAATGACCAACACAAAGCAGGGGGGGTTCTCTCAGTCTCATACCTTGCTGCATATATATAAGCTTGGCATTCCCGGGAATGTTTGGATGCCTGCCTCAACATACATGTACAGACAAAATGAGCTGAAATGCACTAGACATTCTCTCAAGGTGCATTGACTGAGAGATCCAGCACCTGTGGGATTTCAAAGGGCAGAGGGTGAACAAAGAACCTCCACAGTCCACACCCTGGCTTGTATCCAGCAAATGCTGAATAGGGAACCATACTTACAAGGATTGACTCCTAGAGTTTCTAGCTGCCATTGTTTGAACTGTTCCCATAGTAGATACATATTAGCTCTGACTCTGGGCTGTCTCAATTCTGTGGAAGGACAGTGCTGTTGTGGCCATGTACATGTATGCACATACATGTACCATGCTCTAGATTTGAGTTAGTCTTTGAAGTGTAACTGTTCCGTTGTCTCGGTAAGTTTCAGAGTGGCAATGCATGTATACATCTTTACTTGGGATGAAAGAAGTGTTTGCGTGAACTGATTCCAAACAAACTCCGTACCTTCCTGCAGGATCTGATTGTGATCCGTGATGCCTTTAACATCCTCCTGCCTCGTCTGGCCCGATGTGTCCAACGCATCGCCAATTTTGCCGAAGCTCACAGGAGTCTCCCCACCCTTGGATTCACACATTATCAGTACGTACTTAGTGATAGTTTGGGTGGAAAAGCATGTGGACTGCTTTTTTTTAGAGTCACACATGGTTCTGAGGAGTAGGATTTCGTTCAAGTTCATGAAATGTCAGTAAGACGTTCTTGTGGCACTTGTGCCCAAACCGTATAAGAAAAATTCCAAGTATTTTCTATGTAAATGTGTCAATTTTTTCTCTGGTAAATTTGGCTTTTTCAGTCATGTTTTCATTTTCTGATGGCTGATACACCACTGCCCCCCCCCAAAATTTGTGATGTCCGTGTACAAACTCTTACCAAGGCATTCATTTACATTCCATAAGCACTTCAAAGGACGCTGTGACATGAACTTTGTTGTTATTCCTCACGTCTCAGAAGCAGACTTTTGAATTGACTAGAACATGTAATTTTCTGCAACACCGCTGAGATCTGTAGACTTTCAAACTGTTGAGGTTACAAAGTTCTGCTCAGAACCACAGGTAACTCAGACTCCAAAGAGGTGAATTTCCAAAGAAGTGTGTTTTGTGTTACTTGGTGTTGCAGCCTTTACCACAGACATATCGCCAGTGTCACTTTGCAAACCTTCAAATTTCATGAGCTGCATGTATTTTTAAATTCAAAGTGGCTATCGTTTCGGCAGTCATAACGCATTTCTCATTTTCTGTCTATGGCTCTGAACTGCGCAAGTGTGATGATGTAGCTGATCATCATGATGGTTTATATTTTTTTAAAATTACCTGGATCGCTAAGGGCTTGTGGCTGAGTGGTCGAGGTGGTAGGTTTGAAACCACTGGTGTGTGAGTTTGAATCCGCGCTTGGACCATTTAATTTTTTTCACCTAAATTTCATGTTTTATACCATAATTGGTTTTTTATGTTGGTGTAGGCCTAAGCAGGAATCTTTTTTCTTTTCTCATCAGAGGCTTTGGAGGATTTTTTAAAGGGGAATAAAGTCTGAAATCTGCGCTTAAGTTGGCGCGCTTGCCCAGTTGCAGTGCCGTAACGATAGAAAATGGGAGATGCGTTACGGCTGACGTAACAACAGCCACGGCGTTCAAAATTTGCTTCAAGGTCAGCAAGGCTTTCCTCTGACCTCTCAAGATTCTGGAAAATTTGGGGGGAGATGTTCTAGAAAATTTTGTGGAATTGAAGGTCTGGTCACTGTTAATTAGGGTTTTATGCCCCACAGAAGGTTTCAGATGTTGAAATTTATGAGGATTTAGGCATTTTTTCAGCAAACATTCTTTTAGCTTAGGTATTTGTGTATATTCATAGCTTTTTGACACAGGATTACTCATTTCTTTCCATCTAGCATGGCTGTGAAGCGGCATATTCGTGTACTGCGACAGCTATTCACTGCTTTGTGATAATGGCTAAAAACTGAAACCATAAACACAACATATCCATTTCTAACATAACTATAGAGCTGTGCTCAAGCCTACGCTTCAGGACACCTTTTCTTGCCCTTTTTATTTAAAACCTACAGGCCGGCACAGCTGACAACGGTGGGAAAGCGGGCTTGCCTCTGGCTGTCGGACCTCCTGATGGACCTGCGTAACCTGACCAGGGCCAGGGACGACCTGCGCTTCCGAGGGGTCAAGGGCACCACCGGCACCCAGGCTAGCTTCCTGGCACTGTTTGACGGCGACGGGGAGAAGGTTGACACTCTGGACAGACTGGTGACCGAGATGGCTGGATTCCAGAGGTAAATGTTTCCCGAGTATTTTTTTCATGTGTTATCCTCAAAATTCAGAAGATAATTTGGGAAGATTTTGCACCATTCATGGCCTGTGTTCACAGTGAACAGTAAAGGATATTTGATGTAGTAAAAAATATCGGAAAAGACTTTCATATAGGCAACACTTATTTTCCCTTAAATGCTACAACAGCCGTCAGAAAGTGACATGTCCCAAAAACTGAAATTTAGCAAGGAAAATTCCCAGGCATTTACTTTGAAAACGCTCTCTTTTTTTCAGACAAGTCTTATAGGTTTGTGCACAGGGGCATCAAAAGTGTTGCCTGTATATGGAGCTATTTCCAAATATTGATCAAATGGGTTTGCTGTGAACCCAACAAGGTTATGCAAGATTTCAATGGTCCCTAGGGGGTTAGGGTTAATGAAAGTGGATGAACTGCATGACAGGGTAGAGAACCGCTGTCTTTAGAAACCTGAGAAGCCCAAAATGCAGCACTTCGGTAACACATACTGTGAGTTTGTTAGCAGAGATGTCTTGCACTGACTGGAATGGGTTGAGCTTGTGTGCATTTCTTTGATTGTTCCTGTGAACCGCGAGTGTTTTAGTGGCAAGCCATTAAGGCAGTGATTCATATGCTGGACAGAGTCCTCCGTGCTTACGAATGTCACATATTGTATGGCACACTGCATTCTGTCTTGCCACTCTTCGTTAGTGGTTGTTTGTGCAAATGGGCCCGAGGGATTGTTGCTTACTGCACCGTCCCTGTACAAAGTGATCACTTTTCCTTGAAAGTACTAGCAACATGCCTTTGGAATTGTGTGTACATGTAGTCTAGGATTTGCAAAGGAGCTCAGCCAAGTGAACAGCAATTCAGAGCCAATTTTTCTTGTTTTGGAGTTTTGAAAGCATTCTTATCATTAAACATTACATAAGATCTGTTCTTTTCATGTCTGTGGTGTTTTCTTACAGGTGGCTGCTAAAATTACATGTATGGCTGGCCACAGTACAAAGGTCAAACAATAATTCACAGATTATCAAAAATACCATGCAGCTTCAGTTTCAAAACCATATCATTAGGTGTTAAATGACAATAAAACCCTATTTGAAGTTGATGGGACAAATGTCTATTTTGAATTTGAAGTAACAATGGAAAAGCAACCAAAAGGTGATAATTCGGCAAACTCTGGTCGCCCTTGCAAAGTTGTAGGCAAAACGAGAGTGGTCATTGGCACTGTGCTTATATGTTACAAATGTCCTTGCATTGCAATGATTGATTGGCCCGTTCTGTTGCCTGAATATAGTAGTAGGGATTTGGGGGAGAGGAGCAGGGGAGATTGAGCAGTAGGTCCCACGTATGCAGTTTGGAATCTGGGAGCAAAATCGTGTGTAGTTAAAAGGTTCATTAACGTGTACTTTGTTAAAGTAATCCTCTTGAGATTGACAAGCATTCTTCAGGTACTGAAGAGAAATTGCACAGGAGTGGTATTTGGCTTATAAAATTGTTTAATTATGTACTGTTAACCACACTTTTGATATTTGTATTTGGTGCTTTTTTTTCAGAACAGGCTGAAGACAGTGTCTCTGATTTCATTATTTTTTTTTTTTAATCCAAGGTCATATATAGTGACAGGCCAGACATACAGCAGAAAGGTGGACATTGATGTGCTGTCTGTACTGGCCGGTCTCGGAGCTACCATGCACAAGGTCAGGAACCTGAATGCCTTTGGCATTCATACCAGGGAGCTTCAGATTTAGCCAAAACTAACACTGTGACAGAGTTTTCACTCCGGGTTCCCTCCCCCGCCCCGCCCACATTTCTTTTTACACTTACTTTGGTGGTACAGATTCGCCGGATTCTGATGACATTTGCTTTTGTTAGTTTACGGAAGTTTTTGACGAGTTTCGTTTTTTTTGCACAGCACTTTTCTCTCCAGTTGTTGGCGGACCTGGTCCTGCTACAAGCCATTTTGTCTTGTTCGCCCCGTCTGTAGTCGGGGGAAAAAAACGGTCACGTTATTTTTTTGACTTTATTGGTGCATATCAGTAGTAATGAGTATTCAACCAAGTGACCCACGACGACGGGAATTTTCACTGTTGATGTCTGAATCTTCATTGCTGTGGTACCTTACGTACCATATCTGTTTGGATTTGGACCTTGTCCAATCAAACAGTGGTTAATAGGCCTTTTAGCTTTAGTTTTATGTCAGTGAAAGGGCAAATACCAACTATCAAAGTAATCTTTGTCATTTGCTTTCTAGATTTGCACAGACCTGAGGCTCCTCGCCAATCTCAAGGAGGTTGAGGAGCCTTTTGAGACGGACCAGATAGGCTCCAGTGCCATGCCGTACAAGCGCAACCCGATGCGCAGCGAGCGCTGCTGCTCCCTGGCCAGGCACCTCATGACGCTGGTGGGCGACCCCCTGCAGACGCACGCCGTGCAGTGGTTCGAGCGAACGCTGGACGACAGTGCTAACAGGTGAGGATAGTGACCAGTGGGTGGGAACAGTCAGAGAATGGAAATTGGAACGCTCTACATTCGCCTTGTAAAAGTGTACTAATGCGATCTGAACATTGCTGCAATTTAGATGGTGCAGATTATCTCTGCACCACTGAAGTGACAGAAACTCTGCTATCAAAACTCTGGAGGAACTGCTTGAGGGAAGAAAACAGTATCACCTCTTTTGTGGTTGGCGACCCTGGTCCGGGGACGGCCTTGTTTTTCTTCTGTAAAATGGGCAAGACTATGGGGTTGAGGTTGGACCTTAGTCAATTTGTTGAAGTTACTCTAACGGCATGAGTTCATACAGAACAGCAGTTGACCCAAAACTAATGGGGATGGGGGAGTCTTACTGAACGCGACAGTCCCTACACACATGCTCCCGTCCTGTGTGTAAGTCGTTTCGATTTCCGACGGCCTTGTGGTGCGATCACGTGACATTGGAATGCGGAAGTGTACTGGAATATCGCGCGCGAATAACAGCTACAACTTCTTCAAAATGAACTTCCAGTTTGAAACCAAAATATTAACCTTAGTCCGACAATGCATACGTTGCAGAAACGAGCCCAGTCTATTTTTAGTTTTCGACAAACCCAAAATCTGGGGACAGGTATAAAAAAGACAGTAAAGTCGCTTACCGTGCAGGCATTTGAGTCGGATTGTTCGGCCATGTTGTCCTCATGCAGTTTCACTACACTGTGCATGCCATGTGTGGTGTTCATCTGGTTCGTAAGTGACTTCGTTACAAAGGACCAGGAGGTCTGACATTAGTCTTGAAAGCCTCCACCAACGCCTTGCCAGGAATTTTTTTTTAACGGAATCACTCGGGCATATTTACAAAGTACATTGATCCACATCTGCAAGCACTGTGTTTGAATCCTTTATTGTATTTGGATGTTAAAATTAGATACATCTACCAGGTCTGATGTAATTCATCCCGACCCACAGCCATAATTCTATATCTCGGATAGCTTGGTCTTGCGGGTTTATGGAGCACGTAAGCATCCTGCCCCCGAAGAAAGTCTGAACTTGCTTTCGCATAATCTTGTACTTTCCATGGTGCCTTGCAGTGTGATACAACTTGTTAATGCCACTACAACCACTTTTGCGAGCAGTGTCATAATGGAGGGATGTTAAATACTTTTCCACGATCCTGTCTCATCGAATCTACAAAGTTTAAAATGTCTGTTTGGTAGAGTTTAACCTTTTTAATAATAACAGTGAAGCCCAGTATCGCCTTTAATTTTTTTCATAATTATCAATATTATTTTTTTTAATTTATTCGTTTGTTAATTCATTCGTTTGTTCATTTATTTATGTCTTTTATCCATTTGTTTATGAAGTTAAAGTTTCAAAATTATAAAAATAAAACGTTATATACAAACAAAACAGATATGCAGTGTAATAAAAAGTGCATCCACAACCATTTTATTTCAAACACAACATTTTAAACAAAATTATACTAGTACATTGTCACATTAAAGGTTTATATAGAAAGTTACCATTCAAAACCAACAGATCCACCTATAAAACAAGGTTTTACACAATTTGAAACAAAAGTTAAAAAAATGGAATTTTTCAAAAGAAAAATAATATTGATACAATTAGAAACTAAAAAAGAAAGGTTTCACCAATTACAACAATGTTTATACAAAAAAGTTTTTAAAATAACATGCTTCATACACTTTACCAAAAAAGAAAAAAAATGCAACTGACAAACAGACTAAAAACCTAAGAATGCCAAACAGACTATTTTAGAACAGTTTTGGTTTTTTTTCCTGAATTTTATGCATAAAAATTGCATGGCTCCATTAAGTCATATTGCTGTGCTTGTTGCAACTCAACATTGTGTTCCACTTTTCCTAACCACTGGTTGATTACTTCCTGTATCCGTGTTCAATCAAAGCCTCCACCATGTCCTCTGGATACCAATCAAGTAACGTTTCTCTTGCCTCCATTAGACAGCTGTGCTGTCTTTGTGACAGGTACATTAGGAGTGCACATCCGTCACACCTAATTTGAATATATGCAGAGAACATAGATTTCAGAAATTGTGACACGTGTACATACATGTACATGTACATGTACACTTACATAAATGATACCTCCATGCAGGTCATTTTGAACGTCCAGCACTGAACTTTTTGCCTTGTTTGGAAGCTTCCTGCTTCCCTTTGAACTTTCATGTAGGCAAAGTGCACATGCTAGTTTTTTCCTGTGCTGTGAATTTCGTTTCTCCTTTACGCCGTTTGCCACCACTTCAAACATTGGTCCTTCCAGCTTCCTCCTCAAACTTCTTGACTTACAGAAGGATCCATGGCCACTTCTTTCAAGGGCAGCAGCTTTCCTGGGCAGTGTTTTCATCTTTAGATCCAAGCAAGCATTTACATTCATGTACATGTACTCTTCAGGCTTCCTTAGCATTGCAGAGCTTGCATACCGGAGACTTTGACATGTACTTCGAGCATGTGGACAGCGTGCATCTACGTGTGTATTGTTCAGTGCAACTCTTTCTTGCTTGCACTGTTTTAACGTTCTGACGCCTCAAAGCTGCTAAGCACTCTTTCTCCTGTTCAATCATTTTCTGTTCTTTTATCTTTCTGGCCTCCCTGAAGCTTATTTTCCCTCCAGTTTTGTGCAGATTTCTTTCTCCTGTGTGCTCGGTGTGATGCTTTCTGCTCAGGGGTCATTGCTGCCCGTTCTTGACGTCGCTTTGCTACTGCTGTCACTTTGTTTTCTCTGCTCCTTTCTGTTGCTCGGTTCTTCTCACTGACACGGCTGGAATGGTTCATTTGTTTTTTTCTTTTTCCCACTTTCTCACTCTGTAATTCCTCATTTGAGTTGCGCAACCTTCATTGTGCTTCTTTTGCTGTCACACGCCCTCCCACTTCTTTCTCTCCTCAGTGCTTAAATTTCTCTCCTGGAATGTGTACCCTGCCAGTGCCATGTCAAGTCTTTTCAGTTTCTTGTAGTTATTATTGGGCTTTAATATTTGTTCATAGGCAATGCCAGCGTGACAATAATGAAACATTGAAATGTCATGTTCAGCTTTTCTGACGGGGGGGTGTTTAACCACTGTGACTGACATTCCAAAATGTGACGCTGCCAAAACATGCCAAATGTGTTCCTCTTCAAGTTGAAGTACTGGATATCTAAATCCATACAATTCAAACAGCTTTTGGGTTAATTGCACACACGTATATAAAAAACCTGGACTTGCAACGCCTTTGTATGAAGAAGCCAACCAGCGGCCATTTTACCAAGCCGAACACAAAGGCGTGGGTTGGCTCCCTTCTATTGACGTCGGGAAGAACAAAGGCAAGCATTGCCAGGAAAGCTTTGGATTCGGCTCAGTAAAATGGCCGCGAGTGGATTCAGTGATCTCTATAAGCTGATTAAGGGCATTGCGAGTCCAGATTTTATTATACACGTCCGTGGTTAATTGGCACATGTATTAAATTTGGAAAACCTGTCTTTAAGTGTTTAACAAATTAACAAAGCAACAACAATTAGCAAATTAACCTGCATGACTGACATTACCATCACTGACGTAACACAATGGTTATGTACCATCTCTCAATAGTATCTACAATTTAAATACCATGTACCAAATTTCAGTAAATACTCTTCACAAATGACTCGCTCATCACATCCAACTTCATCTAGCACTCTGTGCCCATTGAGCTGCAGGTGGATTTATGACATTTACTAGCACAGGAACACACAATTATTATACGTATATTTGTACGTCATTACATTAACATGTACTAGTCAATCTGCAGATGCCATTACTGGGGTACATGTTTCTGCCCTGACACTCATGCTACTGACGTGTGGGTGCATTTGGTAGTTATCCCATTGGCTGAAAAGACATTTAATGCATGTCAACCATCTATTTGCAAGCATTGGACACTGCACTTAGTGCCCCTGATTACATGCATGTATACACGTATGTCAACATATCAGTCTCTACACAGTACCGGTTTATGTACATAGGCCTGCCTTCTCAAACGTCAGTAAAGTTATTTTTATTAAGTTAACTGGTGCTTCCAACTTTTTCAGTATTTTATCTCTGGTATAGTATATTTTTTCCTCCTTTGTTGGCCATTTCCAGTATGCACCAGCTCTCACCATGACTGACACTTCAAAGTTGTCATTTGGACATACAGCTGTGACTACCCCATGAATCTCACCCCCATAATCTACAATACACCAGTCATTGGCTGCAATTTCGTTAACACCTTCCACAACTTTTTCTGAGGGTGGTGTTGGCATGTACATGTAGGCCTTATAATTCTCTGAAAAATCAGCTTACAAGAGGGCCCTAGTTGAGTGACTTTCTGCAGCTTTCCTGATAGGTCACAGCCTGTTAACAGCTGTTGCCTTTTGACATGTTTGACGTAACGATACTCAACAAATTGTGGAGGAATTGAGTGGATGTGTTCTTGTGTTGTTCCTTCTTCCATCACTTTGCAGACTTTGCCACTTTCCTCTTTTTTCCAAGCTTATCATGTCATCACACTTTCCTCTGATGGGGACAGCTGGTTGACGATCGATCCATCTTTTGATACAAGTGTCACATTCATTGACCCAACAACTTCTGCGAGGAGGTTGACTAAGGAATGTTTCAGAGAGTTCGTGGGAGTAGCTTGGAACATCAGGACATATTTGGTGAAGGGCATCTACATGTACTGCTAAAATGAAATTTTCGTGATATTTGCAAAGGCATAGGTTGTGGGGAAGCTTACTGCAGAGTAGTACATGCTTTGGTCTGAGTTCTGCAAACTTGCTTTTTTTACAATCATGACGTGCATATTCTTGGATAAATAAGGCATACACCTCCATTATGGAACAGGTCAAGTGTCAGACTTGTCCATCTTTTGTGCCGTCATCTTTGCGAATTGTCACAAAATCTCGTCTCCCTGGAGCCTGTCGACTTACGTCATCTCATTCATAGAAAGATTGCACCAATTCTGATG